TTTTTGGTAAATACTGAATTGACAGCAAGGTGATCTGAGTGTCTCTTGCCATAACGCTTTCTATGTGCAAAACGTGCTTATGTTTGTATGTTTATTACAAAACAATTTATTACAAAAAAAAAAGACACAATAATCATTCATTGTCAATTTCGTCATTAAATACTACACCAAATACAAAATAAATAGCCCCATTAAATTTCTTGTAAAAAAACTGGTTATTATGAAGTTATTTTAAGATTTGCAAGTTCAACTGTTTGGTTTCCTATAGTGAACAAAATAAACAAACTTCCTCTTTTATATATATCCATATATATGTATAGATTCTACAAGCAAACCCTGTTTACTACCAACGAAGTTCCGAAGGGACTCGATCGACTTTGTAAATAAATTTGTCTACAGTTGCTTGTGGGTCCATAAGAGAGTCTCTTATGCTATAAGAGTCAAACAAAAAATGTAAATAAGAGTACCTTCAATATTTCTATTAATCCTATTTATTGTTACTGGTGTCCCCTGTATATGTTTCTTATAAATGTAGTGAGTTTACCATATTTCGGTCCGTTACTTACACCTAATGTTGGAGCTGGTGAAAAACACGAAACGGATGGTATAAAAAAATAAGTTAATAATTTGAGGGTTTGTATATAATGAAAGCAGAAAAAGAAGGAATAAAATATTACTGTATTTGTTTTGTGGATGAACGTAGCCCACTGGTTAATGTGCTCTACTATGGATTTACGGGTTTCATTTTTCCTATCCCATTACTTAAAAAACAACAACAAAATAATCACTCTCAGCACTTTGGGGCCTTGAATGCGTTATAAGAGTGACGGTCAAATTCTAATATCTGGTGTGACAAAAATATCTCAAGAGTTGGCGGTGGATACTATTGGCCATCTGTTTCTCCGCTAGTCTATCAGTTTAAAATTAGAGACGGTAAAAACAAATAGTCTTTGAATAGCATGCGAATATCCGAAAACAAAGCAAAATATGTTGATGCAAATTTAAGTTCAAATTGAAATGATGAATTTTATTTAGATTATTTTAATAATTACTCATAATAATATTTTTGCCTAAAGGCAATATATAAAGTTTACAACAAGTTTACAAATTATCCAGGTTTGTTTTTAATAGCTAACTGAGGACGTATGTAGAAATTAAGGACTGCAAAATGACATTAAAATTAAGAATTATAAATGGCCAGGGAAATGAATGACCACGTAAAATGAACATGGGAAAAAAGTAAATGAATATTATATATATTAAAGAGTTAAATAAAAAAATATTTTGCCCCGCATTGGCACAGCGGTTTGTCTTCGGACTTACAACGATAAAAACCGAGTTTAGATACTCGTGGTGGGCAGAGCAGAGATAGCTCATTGTGTAGCTTTGCTTAACTTCAAACAAACAATAAAACATTTTATGTACCATCCTTCTGTAAAGCTAAATTTGTTTACACAAGCTAAAGAAAGTATAATTATTTTAAACTTCATCAGAAATTTTGTCTAAGTAAGTAAAAACTAACAAGATAAACTAACAATGACTATGTAAAAGGAACAAATTTTAGTTTCCGTTTGACTAAGAACATGTGATGCAAGTCAAAATAGAATTAGCTGATCAAGTAACTGATAATATACGTAGATGCATATATGGCTAACAAAAAAGAAGCTAAAGTAACCATGC